TAAGGACCCCAAAAAGGGACCATCATTTTGACAACCACCCATATCCTAGAGTCTAGTGTTCTAAGCTTTAGGATTCCAGGGGTTCGAAATTTTGAGCAAGGTTTCCAGGACTTTCGGGCTTAGAGTGTAAAAAGCTTTAGAATACAGTAGGGTCTTTGGTCCCAAGAGCTTAGAGTGCCTTGCATTTCGAGCCGTAGGCTCAATGAAAACTGCAACACTATACAACCTTGATCAATTTTCCGTAAAGATCAAAGGTGTCGGGTGTGTGGGATGCTACTAGGCTTCCTTAGTCTCTCCTGTTAGTTTCTCCTGTGCTGAGGTTCGAGAGCGCTTCCTCGCCAGTGGCACGGAGGACAAGCAATGCATGTGGACAGTACTCGAGGGCCAAAATCATAAGTAATGGTATCCCCTTCCTTAAGGACCAAATGCACCCTAAAAGGGTTTCAGGTTCATATACCACGTAAGGATTCATAGAATACGGTGGTACAGGGCCTCCACTTATAAGGGTCATGTGGTCCCGGAGATTTTTCACTCTGTCAAGTACACCGAAACACTACTCTCATTACTGAAGTGCCTATGGTATCCACGCCTCGGCCCTACACCTCTTCTCCTTGACCGCCCAGAGCTTTCTTCTGAGTCCCAGATTGTAAATACGAGGGCTGGAGTGAGGACCCTGCAGCAAAGTAGGTTCCAGCCACTTCAGGAAAATCTTAAATCCCATGCCCCTAGGCCCCGAGGCAATCAAACTTCAATGGAGGCTTCTGACGTGTTTTTGGGGTTCTGTAGGATAAGAATGACCCTAACTGCTAAGGGACGAAATTGTGCATTGTTGTCGCAGACCCCCCTCATCCTAGATGACTGCAGTAAGCTAGGAGGGAGGACGAATTCGAGATCGGGCAACTTTTGCTGGCAGCTCTGTCTTGTAGTTCATGGGTGGCCCACGACACTAGGAGCACAAACTCGATGCCAGCAACCCAGTGTCTCACGAGCAGCACGGCGCGCTCACCGTGAGTCAGCTTGTCAAGAAAATCCCTGGAGTGGTCGGAGTTTGGGGCTACAAGCGCTTCCCCGAGTGCAGCTGTCCAAGGAACCTTGAGGCAGTCGGTCCGGGACACATGGCCGTGGACAAGGCTAGTTTGGTTGAGTTGTGAGCACGTCTCTTGAAATGGCGCATCTCGAGGCGATGGCTGTTTCCGTGCACAAGGTTTGCGCGCCTCTGCAGACGATCAGGATGCTTTTCAGCATGCGATTCAATGCCACAGAGAAGATCATCGGGCCCCATGGTCTCGCACTGGTCATGTTGATGGCAAATCTGTCCCCTTTGCGACGCCGCGCCGTGGAAAGCCCCACAACACCGGAGCAAAGAGGTATGGTTTACCTTAATCCCAAAGAACCTACCTTTTTCAGGACTTATATAAAGAAACTGTAACAAGGAAACATAGAAAGGTAGGTTATTTGGGGTCCAGGTGGGGTTTAGGGTCGAAGCGACCTGCTTTGTCGCAATCGCAAGAGGCCGCGGTGACAATGAGAACAAACTCAGGCGGAAGTATCGAAGCAGGCAAAACAGATTGCAGAACGACCAGGCGGCTCAACCCTAAACCCTAAACCCTAAAGGCAGCTCATGCAGCCCGGCTCGCGGCAGATCAGGCCACGGCTGCGTGGCATCTGCGAAATTACACAAGGGATTGACAGCAAGCCCTCTCCTCCTTTAGGGTTTAGGGTTTAGGGCTTATAGGGTTTAGGGTTTCTAGGGTTTAGGGCTTCTAGGGTTTAGGGTTTCTAGGGTTTAGGGTTTTTAGGGGGTTTAGGGTTACTCAGATCAGAGGATCTGGGCGATTCACACGATGATTGGCCTTTGCTCCCCTAGACTGGTCATCCTTGTTCCATGTACCCCAAGGACGGGATCAACCAATTCCAAAGCCCTCATTGTGCAATCTTGGAATCCACTGCCATGGTCTAAAACAGTCCGAAATCTTAAATCCGAAACACCAAACCCTTAAGGATAAACCACGACAAAGAGCTCCTAAACTTTAATCCTAGGCCCTGAAAGCGTCAAGCCTGTACGCCCAACAGCTCCGAGCCCTAAATCCCAAATCGGCTTCCATCCTCAGCGAACTTAGCGAATTTAGAAGGACCATGTGGGATATTTCATTATTGTGAGAACCTCTATATTTAATATAGATCGAAGCTCTTGAAGAAAGCCCTGATATAGGAACGCTAACAATACATTGAAGTCTGCATCTGTAAAAGGTGATTAGTGCTAAGATTCCCCGCGCTTTACCTTTAGGCAGTTTTATGTTCCAGTGTTCTGGCTTTTACTGTACGGTGTGTGTAAGCTGCTTGGGACCGTTTGGGTTTGGAGAATATCACCCTAAACCCTAAACGTTCACTTCAGGAGCTATCTGCCACCCTGGTTCATGAGCTGAGCCGGACGGTTTTGCAACAGGTTCAGCGCTCGGAGTCCTAGGTATGATTAGGGAGACCCCCTAATCCTAACTCCCACGGAGGAGGGCGAACTGAGATATTTGGAAAGTGGTGGGTTAGAAGTAGGGGGCCCGAATACTTCTTACTTTTTCGTTCCTTAAACTTTTCCAGATGTCCGAAATCCAGTGTCTAAGCCTCGGTTTAAAGAACCTTTGACGTCTTCTGGGTGTATGCAATCCGCACAAGCCTACCAGACCATAACTAGCAAGGTTGCTCTGCCCTGCCGAATGCCATAGGAGTATCGAACTTGCACCATCGGGATTAGGGTTAGCTAAAACGGTTGACTTGCTATTGGGCCGGGGCACTTTGCCCCAAGCTGCTCGGAATGTTGAAATGGTACCGTAGCTATAGAGTTTTAGATACCTGACGCCCTAAACCCCCTACACCTGTAAACCCCTAAACCCCTCATAACCCCTAAACCCTGAAACCCCAAACCTAAACCTTTTAACCCTAAACCCCCAAACCCCAAATGCCCCGAATAACCCTTAAACCCTAATAAACCCTAGACCCTTAAACCCCAAACCCCAAAACCCCTACTTACCCCTAATAAACCCGACACCCCTGAACCCTAAACCCCTAATAACCCCTAACCCCTAAACCACAAACCCCAAACCCCAAAACCCTTAATAACCCCTTCTTACCCCTAAACCCTAAACCCTCGCCCGGGTCCGGAATCCCCACCGGAAAGCTGCTGGGGTCCCTTTGGGTCTCCGGCGGGTCGCAACCCCCAAACTGGCTTAGGTTTACCTGGACCCCAAAGAACCTACCTTTTGCAGGGTTCCTTGTTTTGATTTTTGTTTATACACAAGTCACAAGTCCGTAAAAAAAAGTTGGTGGGGGTTGAAGTCGGGTTTAGGGTGTAGGGTAGGGCTTGGGGTGTAAAGGTTACAGGTTTTTGGGGCCCGAAACCCGACACCCTGGCGTCGATGAGGCTCCGAAGGGGCAAGTTTGGTTTCAACCCTAAACCCTAAACCCTAAACCCTAAACCCTAAACCCTAAACCCTAAACCTTAAACCTACACCTACCATCCGGACGGTCGCAAGCTGAGCACCCACCTCCCTTCCACCCCCCCCCCCCCAAACTACACGGAACCATTGCAAACGTTCCAGAAACTTAATCCCGCAACCCATTGGACAGAAAATTGAGCACCCTATGTTCGCCCGAAACTCCAACACTCTAAAACCTAGACCACTTTAAAACCCTACGCAACTCCAAACGCCGCTAGAAAATGAGAGTGCGTAAATGCCAATTCTATTTTGGGGGCACCCTATTCCTTTTTCAAGGCCCCTAGACTTATTACACCCTTGCAACCAAATGAAACGCTGGACACCCTTAAAATAAGCCCCAGAGGCCGGCTCAGCTTAAACACTTGGTTAAAACCTACCGAAACCCTCCGAAGTACCTACATGGTATAAAGTAGGCTTTCAAAAAAAGGAATTACCGTTCTGGTGTGGGTAAGTCTCCCCCCACATAGGTACTTAGGAGCCTTTTGGGCTATAAACCCTGACACCTACGCCCTCAAAGCCTAAGTCTAGGACATGTTCAGGTGGGCAGGTACCGTTATAGGAGCCTTATAGAAGGTCTATATACCTTATAGAAGCCTTATAGAAGCCCTATATACCCTAAACTCGCCACCTGCAGTTTAAACCCTAAACCCCTAAACCTAAACCCCTAAACCCCTAAACCCTAAACCCTAAACCCTAAACTCCTAAACCCCTGAACCCTAAACTCCTAAACCGACAGGTGCCGAAGCTCTTTGCGAGCCAGCTGCTTCTGGGTAATCCCCTTCAGCTCGGGGAGGTCGGGCAGCTGCTGCTTTCGTTTCAGGTAAGGGGCCTGAACTCTTTTGGGGTTTAGGGTTTAGGGTTTAGGGTTTAGGCTTTAGAGCTCAGGGTTTAGGGTTTTGGGTTTAGGGTGTAGGCTTTAGAGCTCAGGGTTTTGGGTTTTGGGTTTAGTGTTCAGGGTTTTGGTTTAGGGTTTAGGGTTTAGGGTTTAGGGTTTAGGGTTTCGTTTCAGGTAGTGGCCTGAATTATTTTGAATAGGGTTTTGGGGCCCATAGTACTACAATTCTACAAAGGAACCCACAACATAGTATAGGTAATGTTCTAAAAGGGAACCCACAAAATAGTATAGGTAATGTTTTAGGCCCCTATGTCACTCTGCTTGGGGCTTTCGGGTGGTATTTAGGGGCTTATAGGCATCTATAGTGCTTAGAGATGGGCTTGCGGCTGTAAGGTTTTTCGGTGTTGGGGATTTAGGGTTTAGGGTTTAGGGTTTTAGGGTTTAGGGTTTAGGGGTTTAGGGTTCAGGGTTAGGTTAGGATGTGTTAGGGCTTTTGGGGTTGTGAAGTTGGTTTCGATTTCCTGCTTGAGTGCTGGCTACCCCTACCTTCAGCCGTTTTTGCAACCCTACGGCCTGAATCTGCTTCGGGGGCTTTAGGCTTTAGGGTTTAGGGTTTAGGCCTTAGGGCTTTGGGTTTATGGCAACTTTTATTTGCTAGCTGACTGAGCCTACTTAAACGAGTACCCGGAAGGGAAGCTTCCAGATTAGGGTTTGGGGTTTAAGTTACGACAATGGGGATCTACCTATAGCTTAACTCTTTTTGGCACTTCAACTAGGTTCCTTAACCTAAGGGTCCATGTACCCAAACAGTAGATACTTTGGCCGTGAAGTAGTCCCTATCTAGGTACTTAGGGGCCGAAGTATATACTATTTGGGTACATGGATCTTCGGGTCAACAAGAACCATTGACACGGAGGTGAAGGAACCCAAGCCAAAGCTCGCAAGCCCTTCCGTGGTTGTAGCAGAGTAGGTAACCTTTAACCTTTGTTAGAGTACTATAATGTTTATGGAGGTTGTAGATGATTATACTACACACCAAAGAAGGTTTAGAGGCTTAGGGGTTACAGTATAAAC